TCTCACTTTGCATGTAATGCGTCTATCTCATATATTGGTTTCACCTTTTGAGTTGCCATACCAACATAAATGAACATTTGCACGATATTCTAATTTTTCGAGTTTCACCTGTACAGTCATTCTCTTCTATTACAATTTAATCTTATATTTTAAAAAATGCATTTAAACAATGCAGTTTGCTCGTATAGTACTAAAATTAGTGCCTGGTTGTAAGACCCAATATAATCTTACTGTTCCTTTCTGCTTTTAAAAAGCAATTTTAAATATTTATCTTAATCTGCTCTAATGATTTCTACAAAAGTACAGGTAATCCTTGGGTTACAACAGCAATTGGGACCGGAATTTCTGTTGTTAAGCAATGCAGTCATAAAGTGCAGCGTCACATGACCGCATCACTTAGCAATGGCAATTCCTCAGTCCCCGTTGCCGTCATAAACCCAGACCATGCAGGTTCTTAAATGGGAAGAGGGGGGTGCCGTAGGCGGGTGAAAAAGTGGCAGGAGCAACTTCTAGTTTCCCCATTGACTTTGCTTGTAGGAAGACAGCAGGGAATGTTGGAAATCATGATTGTGTGACTGTGGTTCACTGCGATGTAATTGTGAGCCAGGCACTGAGCATCTGGATGGTGATCATGAGACCGTGGGGACACTGACGGCCACAACTTGGTGGACTGGTCCTTAGTCCCCCTTGTTCGGCACTGTCATAACTTTGAACAGTCACTGAACAAATGGTCGTAATTCAAGGATTACCTGTATTGTTGCATTACACTGGTTGGGCTGTCTACATGTATTCAATATACCTAAATAGACTAGCTTAGGGAAAACTGCTAATGAAAGCAAACATTAGTTACTAGGTGTGCCAGTAGGGAGCACACTCGGCTAGCTCTGGGAATGACAAGAATGAACAGTTCGGATATTTGCACCATAACAGGCTATAAGTAACAGGTCAAATAAACTGAGCATAGCATTACAAAGCTTCAGATAGTCCTGAACCTTTTTGAAGCACACAGCGCATTCACTTAGGCTGTTGCTGAGAACTCATACCAGACAGGTGGAGCCCCAAGTTTCCATATATAGTAGAAATGAGAATGAAACCCTCTTCTAAAGCTTTATTCTGCATACAGTCTAATGAGTTCAACTTTCCTCAGGGCGAGGAAAAATGTTCTCATCCACTCCACCCAGTTGTATTCTACTTACCCTTGGTTAAATTATGCGCTTGCCTTGTGCAGCCCTGTGCCTAGGTTTTGCAAAATAACAAATGAGAATGAAAACCTGGGAGTTATGAGTTTTAACTACATATGTTCTCAAGTATGCTGAATTAAGGAAACAGCTGGAACCAAAGAGATGATGAAACTACCACTGAGGAGGAGATTCTATCCCTTTAAAGAAAAAAGTTTGTCTACATTGTTCTCAGAAGTTCTCCCAAGAGGACATTCTATAATTTTTCTCTGTAAATTCCTGTGCTGAGCTACTCTTTCCCCCACCCAACTCCTGGTATTTAGCTTACATCTACTTTCCTGTAGTTTAAATGCATGTCTCACCTTGTCTAATCCCCAGAGCACAAGGTTTACCATCATTTACTTCCCTGGGCATAACATTTTAGCTTTGTTTTTCGCTGGTTCTTTTTCACTTGTCTGCCCAATCGGCTGCATGTGTGTATGTATTCCTTGCCAATTGCCTTATCATTTGCAGTTGGATGAGAAAAATAGTAAGGTGATCCTGTTCATTAATATATGAACTGCATACCTACTTCCTATTATCTATTTCTTCCTCAAACCTTTTCATAAGGCTATTACATCATGGAGATACTCAGTAAAGATCCTCAAAATAAGTTATCCTGTCAATATGAGTCCTTTTGACTAAGCTGTTTATCATAAACAATATAGAAGCTACATTGGTGCTATCCTTCTTTTCAAAAAAAGCAAGCGCTCTGTTCTCTTTTTGGCCTTAAAATCAAATTGCTTTATTTGTCCTAATATCTTGCTAAATTAAAAAAAAAAAAAAGCTTGTAATTCCTCGAATCTTATTTTACTTTACAAAATCCTGGCAAAAGAGTTGTGATACCCACTGCTTCTGTTTCCTGTAGCTTGTGGATAAAGTTCAAGGTATTAACTTTGATCTCTAGGTCTGTTATGCCTTGGGCACTGCCAATCTCAGCACTTCACTTGTTTGAATAAATGTGTCCAAGACAGGACTATTTTCTTGACTGTACCATCTATGATTCAGGCTTACAGAGAGAGGAAATACCCAACAATTGTGGGAATTCTCTTTTTCCCAGATGTTCATGCTCCAGGGTCTTCCTAGAAGAGTAGTAACATTTTCCTCCTCGATCCTCCTCCTAGTAAATGCCAACCAGGTTCAGTCTGTTATAACTGGTTCTTTGTTTTCAGCTTGTCTTACTTTTTTTGGTAGTTAGCCATTCTAAGCCCTTTGAAGAATCAAAATAAGTATCAAAACAACAGAACTGTAGGACATGGCTTCCGCACATTTATCTTTAAGAAATTTGTCTCACGTCTCCTTTAAGAGTCTTGAAGCCATTAAGATCCAGCAACATGAATTCAGATTGTCATATTTTGAATCATTATCCTACCTTTTACCAACTTTGTTTTGTCAGTGTTATGTCTCAGTGCAATTTCCTTCTTTGCAAGGAACTGCATATTGAGTAATCCTGACCTTAAACAAACACAGGCACGCGCACACACGTGCGTCTGATCTCTTGCTTGTTTGGAGCTGACCAACAAATCCACTTCCCCATCCCCAGATTTAGTTTGGTTGCTTCTTACACTTCTCTGTTGTCCCCAATATCCTTTGTTAGTTACAACTTGTTTTACAAGTTTGCTGTTCCAGTTTTGTCTCAGTGTATTTATGCTACTTGTTCCTTGATAACCTGTTTTGCTTTTTACTTCCTTTAAGTTACCCTTATGATGTCAGAGCATTAAAGGTTCTTAGTGCCTTACTTTACCTTCCCAGTTTCTCTTGTGTGCCTTCAAGTTTCCACCATTTAGATATGAAATGGAAGAGGAGAGGAAAATGTCCTGCTTGCCTCTCTCCTTCCCCTCTCTTCCTACCCCCACTCCCTCGCCCAGAGGTATAGATGAGGACAGGCACAAGGCGCTGCCTCATCTTCAGCTGTGCCATAAATACTGCAGCCACATTCCATTCCACATCAGCTTGTCGTCCTTCCAGGGACAGCAGGTTGCTCCATATAACTCCAGGAAGGTCTAGCAAAGATCTTGCCGCATTCCTTTAGGTAATAGCAACAAGTAGTTAACAACCCAAGAAGGCAGTGTAGACAGGAGGAATTTGGTACTCTGGTCCTAGCTATCCCTTACTGAAATCCAATTCCTCTCCCCAGTTGGAAATGGGACTCAAGTTTGACTGCTATAGTTTCTGTCTTCCCAAAGACCTTCCTCAAAACCCTGACTCAC